GGCTCGAGGAGGCAAAGCAGCTTCTGCTAAGGGATGTTCCAGTCCAGTGGGAGGGTAAGCCCAGCACACAGAAATGAATGGCTCTGCCAGGATGTGGCGAGGGAGCGTCATACAAGCACCTGCCTCAGTATTCAGATCACTTGGCATGCTATTTACACAGAAGAGAGCAATGTGGGCCTACTCCTAGGAGAAGAAAGGATACCTTTTGCTTTAGGGCATTAATATTAGGAGGTCTTTCTTTTACTTGTGGCAAGATGCATATAAAATATGCCATCTTAATCATTTTTAAGCATATAGTTCAGTAGTGTTACATGTATTTAAATTTTATGCCATCAAACTCAGTAACTTTTTAATGTCACAGAACTGAAACTCTATGTGGATAGCCAATAAACAACAAATTCCCACTTCTCCCTCCCTGAAGCCTCTGACAACCACCATTAACTTTCTGTTTCTATGAATCTGACTACTCTAGGCACCTACCTCATATAAGTAAAATAATACAGTAATTGTCTTTTCGTGGCTGACTTACTTCGCTTAGCATAATGTCATCGTGAGTTGTCCATGCTATTGCATATGTCAGAATTTCCTTCCTCTTTAAAGCTGAATAATACTCTATTGTATGTACATATATCACATTTTGTTTATCAATTCATCAGTTTCATGAATACTTACGTTGTTTCCACGTTTTGGCTATTGTGAATAATGCTTTCATGAACATGGGTATACAAATATCTCTTTGAAACCCTGCTTTAAATAGATATATACCCAGAATTGAATTGCTTAGATGATATGGTAATGCTATTTGTAATTTTTTGAGGATTTGCCCTTCTGTTTTCCATGGTAGCTCCATCATTTTCCTTTCTCACCAGTAGTACACAAGTTTTCTAATCTCTCCACATCTTTGCCAACACTTGGTACTTTCTTGTGTTTTGATAGTAGCCATCCTAATGGGTATGAGGTGATATCCCATTGTGGTTTTAATTTGTATTTTCCTCATGATTAGTAATGTTCAGCATTTTCATATGCTTATTTTTGGCCATTTGTATATCTTTTTTGGTGAAATGTCTATTCAAGTCCTTTGCCCACTTTTAAATAGTTTGCATGGATTTTTTTTGGCTGTCATTGTTGTTACATTGTAGGAGTTTTTTTTTAAACTAAGGCAAAGGAAGTGGGGATAGTGAGAAGGATTGCCTAATATTAATGCCGGTGCATGTGTATAATTTTCTGGGGTAGGGGACAGGGTTTAGTTCACTTAAGCCTTGAACTCCTGGACTCAAAGAATCCTCTGTCTCAACCTTCCAAGTAGTTGTGATTACAAGTGCATACCACCACACCTGGCTGAATTGTAAGAGTTATTTACATAATCTATACAGTATCCCCTTATCAGACATATAATTTACAAAGATTTTCTCCCATTCCATAGTTTGCCTTTCACTCTGTTGATTGTGTCCTTTGAAACACAGAAGTTTTGTCTTTATTCTGATGTAGTCCAATTTACTTTTGGTGCCTGTACATTTCGGTAATATCCAAGAAATCACTGCAAAATCTAAAGAACTTTTTCCTCTATGTTTTCTTCTAAGAGTTGTATAGCTTTAGATTTTATGCTTAGGTCTTAGATTCATTTTGACTTAATTTTTGAATCTGGTGTAAGATTCAGGTTCAAATTTATTCTTTTGCAGGGAGATCTAGTTTTCCCAACAACATTTGTTGAAAAGACCACTATTACCTCACTGTCTTGGCACCCTTATTGAAAATCATTTGATCATATAGACGAGCGTTTATTTCTGGGCTCTGTTTCATTCCACTGTTCTACATGTCTGTCTTTACGCCAGCACTACCCGATCTTGATTACTGTAACTTCATAATAAGATGAATCAAGAAATATGAAGCCTCCAGCTTTGTTCTTCTTTTAGAAGATTGCCCTGGCTATTTGGGATAATATTAGGCAATCTTGTAAACCAAAATTCAGATTTCTCTCATCTTAAAAGTCTCCAATATCTTCCTATGACACATACAATTCAAACTTCTTACCAAGAGGACCCACGACCCGCTGTATAACCTGTGTGCGACCTGCCCGTCTGCCCTCCCCTCTCAGTATGCTCCCTGCTTGTCCACAGTGCTCCAGTGCCACTGGCTGCCTGTCTGCTCTCCAGCCCAGTTCCTCTGAGCAAGTACTATTCACTCACACATCTGTCCATTTGCGCATTCTACATGTATATATTGAGATCGTACTCTGTGTTGGGTCCTGTTATAGAGATATGGATACAGCAATTGGCACTCATGGCTGATGCCATCTCAGCCTTTAGCTGAGAGGCTTTCTTCCTCACCCTATTTAAATTTGTTCTTCCTCGCATCCCACCCCCGCCCCAATTCTCCATTTCTATATTCTACTATTACTGCTTTCATAGACTTACTCTTCATTTTTTTTAAGCCTGTATATTTTCTGTCTCTCCCATCAGACCTTAAGCTTCAAAAAGTCACAGGCGTCAAAGACACTTGGGGAACACTCAGTACACATTTGTTGAAAGAATAAAGTGCATTTGGTTGACGATTTTCTGAGAGGACAGTAAACTTGGGTAATAAAGGCTTCCTTTTATAGGACAGAGTGGTCATTCACCTCTCTGAGCCCCTGTCATTGCTGTTGGTTTGAATGTCAACAAATCACCGTTTAGAAAGCTGTGTTAAACTTGCACTGAACACAGAATAAAGCATTATAACCATAATTTCACTGTTTAAATGGAGCAGGATTTCTGAAGACACTGAACATTTGTTTTCTCATCTTCTGATCCTTTCCAAAGAAAATTGGAATTATACCTATAATCCCAGCTACTTGGGAGGTTGAGGCAGAGGATCCTTTGAGTCCAGGAGTTCAAGGTTTAAGTGAACTATGATCATCTACCACCATGTGTCATCTGAGAGCACGAGTCTAATATCTGAGTAAAGGAAAGAAATAATTTCCCCTGAAGAACTAGCTTGTATTTTTTCTTATGAGTACCACTCACTGATTCAAAGTCATTGACTTAAAATAGAGAGCTGTTGGATTCCATTACTATTCTGCACAAAAATGCTTTAAAATGTGAGTCAATCCAGGTTTAACCAAAAAGAAGAAGAAATGCTTCCCAAATAATCCCATTTTTGACAGTCATTTAATTAAATGTAACCACTGATGTTATAACTCCCCAGATTACAAATGTGTCCCTGCCACGTTCGTATTACCAGAGTAAACTGAAACTCATGAGGCAAAATAAGCCATTTTACCACTTTCTCCCCTTGGGTTCACAGCCTAAAAGTATTTGCTCATAGTAAATGAATGTAATATGGACACATATTTGCAAGTTTACCTCACAGTCAGCCACAAGGTAAATGGAGTCATCCATATTATAAACCCCCAAAACCATATTGTAACTTTACATCATGAAACCTGCCAAAATTACATTTTATATCCTTACTGAATGTACAATTTGAAATTACCTCTTCTTAAACGAAATAGGAATGTCAGACTTGGTTGTCCTGCATAAGATGAATCATATGGATTATGTTATTTTGTTATATTTTATTTTCTTTCAGACAGTTTCAATCCCCTGCAACACGTTTCAGCTGAACTGTTTGTTTAGTACATTCCCCCGTCCTATTAGTCATGAAAGAACCAGATACTCTAGTGATTATCTTGCGGGGGCTCACTCATTGCTTTTGGAAACAGGCCACAGATGAAGTAACAATAACCACACTGACGGAAAAAAACAAAAAAGCCAAGCCAGCAATATAGTATTATGACAGCAGATCACAGCTTGACTTGAAAAAGCAGAAGCTATAGTCTAGCTTTTTCCACTTTATACATATATATCATCTCCCTTGACGTTCTGCCCCTGTCTGCCACCAATCAATCTTCATCCAAGAAATATAGTCTAAATTTTCCCTATGGATCTTCAGGAATGACTCACTGAGTGTAGCTGGAGGTGTATTAGAAATTTTACTTCAAAGATAAATATTTTCATTATGCTTCCTTAGGGGATACATAAGGTCAGGATATGTAATACAATTTTGCTTCACAGCACATAATATTCTCATTTTCACCACAATTATTTCTCTTCAACAAACAACTTAGAGTACTTGCCAGAATGTTCATTACAAGATAGTTCATAGTGACCAAAAATGAAAATCAACTCAAATGTCCATCAGAGGATTGGCTGAATAAAACATGGCACACATATATCAATGGAACAGAGTCAGGCATTAAAATAAATGATATGATATTTACCGTTTTCTGAGGGAGATCTCACTTCCCAGCCAGCTCCTTGAGATGGTTTCAGAAACGCTTACTTGCCCCAATCCAGAGATGTAAATTCATTCCCCTCTGCAGACAATGCTCCATGATTGACGGAAGGACGGAGTAGAAGGGGAAGAAGGCAAACGGGTAGGTGAGGCTTCTAAGTTGTTCTGGCTCCTGCTCCAGCTCGGATTGGGTCTGGCCATAGATCTGAACTTATGCAGAAAGAGCTGGGAGTGCCCAGGGATTGTCTGGGGCCTAAGGACCCAGGAAGGTCATTGGGAAGAGCTAACCAATTCACTTCAGGTGGGGAATACTCGGCCAGACATGTGACCCAGGTGGCCATTTTCTCACACCCTGCAGTCACCATCTTCCATCCCCCACCCGTGTCTGATTCGTGCATGGTGCCTGCCTGGTTACTGAGGTTTGGGAGAACACATATTTAACCCCAGACAGACGCACGCAGACAAAATTTTGGCTTGCAAGTAGGGTATACGGCCTCACCAGTGGACCCGCCGCTTCTTCCCTGTTGCTTCCCTGTCCTGTCTACCTCCTCCACTACTTCCTTACCTACGGGGCAGCCAGGAGGCGGGGCCAGTGTGGTAGCGAGGAAGGGACTGGCAGGTGCAAGCTGTCAGTCAGAAGCCCGCCCCCAGCGGAGAACGCAGAGTGGGCGGAGTCGGGCGCCTCCCAGCCCGGGATCCGGAAGTCTGAGCCTAGTTGCAGGAAGTCTGATCCCAGCTGCGTGAGAGCATTTGCTCCCTGAACCGAGTTGTCTTGCTGCTGTCTCTTCTCACAACCTCGCCGGAAGTATAAGAAGAGAGCAAGCAGATTTGAACCTATCTGCTTTCAAGCTGGTCATCACGATGAAACTTAGACACAAAAATAAAAAGCCAGGTAAAAGTTCAAAGGGCCACAAGAAGCCTGCAAAGCAAAATGGGAAGAAAGCAACCTCCGAAGTGCCTTCTGCACCTCATTTGGTTCACTCCAATGATCATGCCAATCGAGAGGCTGATTTAAAGAAGAAGAGGGTTGAGGAGATGAGGGAGATGCAGCAAGCTGCCTGGGAGCAAGAAAGACAAAAACGCAGGACCGTCGAGAGCTACTGTCAGGATGTCCTGAGATGCCAGGAAGAGTTTGTGCGTAAGGGGGAAGTTTTACAGGAATTAAATATGTTTTCTCGGCTGGATGACGAGGTCACAAGGAATGCTTATTACAAGGAGTTCCATGAAGTGGTGGAATACTCTGATGTGATTCTGGAAGTCCTGGATGCCAGAGGTCCATTAGGCTGCCACTGCTTCCAAATAGAGGAGGCTGTCTTGCGAGCACAAGGCAGCAAGAAGCAGCTGGTCCTTGTCTTGAACAAGATTGACCTGGTCCCCAAGGAGGCTGTGGAGAAATGGCTGGATTACCTTCGGAAAGAGTTGCCAGCTGTGGCTTTCAAGGCCAGTACCCAGCATCAGGTCAAAAACCTGAATCATTGCAGTGTACCAGTACACCAGGCCTCTGAGTCACTGCTGAAAAGCAAAGCCTGCTTTGGAGCTGAAAAACCTCACGAGGGTTCTGGAGAACTATTGCCGCCTTGGTGAAGTGCGTACGCACATTCATGTGAGCATTGTGGGTCTTCCCAATGTTGGGAAGAGCAGCCTGATTAACAGCCAGAAGCGCTGCCGTGCATGCAGCGTGGGAGCAGTTCTGGGATCACCAGATTCATGTAGGAAGTCTACCTGGGCAAGTTCATCCGGCTGCTGGATGCTGCAGGCATTGTCCCAGGGCCCAACTCAGAGGTGGGCAATAATATCCTGCGTAACTGCGTCCACGTGCAGAAGCTGGCAGACCCTGTGACCCCGGTGGGAACCATCTTGCAGCACTGCAACCTGGAGGAGATTTCCAACTACTACCGTGTGTCTGGGTTACAGACCACTGAGCACTTTCTCATGGCAGTGGTGCACCGTTTGGGGAAGAAGAAGGGAGTCTTACACAGTCAGGAACAGGTGGCCGAAGCTGTCCTAGCTGACTGGGTCAGTGGGAAAATCAGCTTCTATATGCCACCACCACCTACTCACACTCTGCTGGCCCATCTCAGTGCTGAGATTGTTAAGGAAATGACTGTGGTCTTTGACATCAAGGATACTGATATAAAAGTATGTGTGTATTATAATAGATGCAGCATTATAGTTTATATGTATTTAATACATGATATGTGCAACATTATTTCTTTTGGAAAGATTTTCCTGACTCCAGATTATATCATGCCCGTTTTTGTTTGTTTTCTTTGAGGTCGAGTCTCATTCTGTCACTCAGGCTAGAGTGCAGTGGCACACTCTTGGCTCACTGCAACCTCTGCCTCCCACGTTCAATGATTCTGCTGCCTCAGCCTCCCAAGCAGCTGGGATTACAAGGGTGTGCTACCACGCCCAGCTATTTTTTTGTGTTTTTAGAAGAGATGGGGTTTTACCATGTTGGCCAGGCTGGTCTCGAACTCCTGAACTCAGGTGATCTGCCCACCTTGGCATCCCAAAGTTCTGGGATTTCAGGTGTGAACCACTATGCCCAGCCTATGCCCTCTTTTTAAATATTAATATGATCCTAGAATACAGACTTTCCCTTCATAGAACTTATCACAATTGTAAGTAAACATGTAATAGCATCATAGTTGTTTGAGCCTGTCTTCCTACTCAATTTCCTTTCTTCATTTTGATTTCCTGTATTTTCTAATTTTTCTATAATGGCAATATACTTTTTTAATAAAAAGAACTTAATAGAATAAAAAATTAAAATTGTATTTGTCAGCTTTTACTATAATGATGCTGCAATCAATTCCAGAATATCAAAGTCTTAAAACAATAAGGCTTCATTTCTCTCTCAGTTTCTGTGGGTCATCTGGGTGTCTCTGTTCCAGACTGTAGGTCAAGTTCAGGTCTTCTCCTATGGGGAGTTAGGCAGAAGAATTAGTTCTTACCTGGGACATGCTGTTCTCATGGCAGGAGGCAGGAGCACAAGAGAAACCTCAGAAACATGCAAAGCCTTTTAAAACCTCTGTCAGAATTGGCATTCATTTATGCCCACCCTCTATCAGCCAAAACAAGTCACATGGTCAAGTCCAAAGACAATGGAGTAAGGATGTATAGTCTGCCTCCCATGAGGCATGGTAAGTTACCTGACAACAGGAAGAAATGTATTATTACAGAGAAGATGCAAAGGTTTGGGTATAATAATCCAATATGTCATGATACTAATATTTTCTAATAACTACAACCAGTTCTGTGCTAGTAGACTAAGTATAAAAAGTAGAATCACAAACAACATCAAGCTCTAAACACAAGGGCTGAGTCTTGGAACCCAGAAACAGCCTTTCAAAAACACATCAGTGGAGATAATTAGCAACAGTTTACACATTTAAGGTTAACAACACAGCAAAGAAAAATAAGCTGACTGTACCAATTGTCCTATGTGGCAGATTGTTCATTAACAACCCTCAAAGGTCTACAACTGATTCACATCTTCCTGCAAACCAGTTATTTTCAACTGAAGGCAATTTTTTTCCATGCAGAGATCATTGGCAATGTTAGAGACATGTCTGAGTGTTACGGTATGGGGTGTGGGGAGGTTATGGTCTGAACTGTTACTGATATCCGAAAGGTAGAAGCCGGGCATGCTATTCAATGTCCTACAATGCACAGGACAGCCCACAGGACAAAGAATTTTCCAGCTCCAATATCAGTAGTGTTGCTGTTCAGAAACCCTGCTGTAAAAATACACCTTCCCACATTCACTCTTGGTTTGGCCGTGTTATTTTTTTTGGCTAGTGTGGCATTACCAAGTATAACACAAGCAGGGGTGTAAAAAGTGATTGCTCACTGGAACTTGCTATCTCTGGTTACATTTGGAATCCAGCCACCATGAGAAGAAACCTGAAGTTGTTAACTGCTAGAAACACGGAACCCAGTTGCTCCCATTGCCCCTGTCAATCACATGAATGAGGCCATCCAGAGCTAATTATCCCTTAGCAAACCCACCAGCTACCTGCAGATACGTGAGTGAACCCAGGCAAGTCTTGCAAAAGAACTGCTCAAATGAGCATAGGCCATTTTGACAAACCACAGCATCAGGAGCTAATAAATGATCACTGTGTTTGGAGGCACTTTATTATGAAGCAAAGATATTGTACTTATGGGAATATACTCTAAGATGCTGTGATTAAAGGACTCCGACATACAGTAGTTTAAATAAGGCATTTTCACATAAAGTCCAGGACTCCTCAACACAGGTTTTCCATCTCTGAGTCCAAAGTGGCTCCTCCAGCTCCTACCATCACAACTGTATCTCAGTCAGAGGAAAAGGAGAAGACACAATGGATGTTCACATGCAATGCTTTTAGGTCAAAACTTGAATGTGCCACATATCATTTTTGTTCACATCCCATTGCCAAAACATAATCGGATGGTCACATCTAGCTGCAAGAAGGAGCTGAGAAATACTGACTTTAGCTGTGGCAAAATTCTTCATGCCCAGGAAAATAATCTGGTAGATTAGAAGAAAAGGAGAACGAATTTTGGAAAACAGTTGACTGCTATAGGGATTTAAACTTCTCACAAAAAATTATTAATTACATGTACATATCAGATGAAGTAGTCAGGTGGTAGCCTGGACTATCCAGAAAACTGCTTCAATCCTTCAATTCACTTTGCTGTGTCACTTCAAAAATCACTTGCACTTGAATCTGTAACACAATTATATTTTTTTAAATGGGAAAAAGTTGATTTCCATCAAAGTATACGATAACATGAGTTTTCTTAAAACAAATATTTTCTCCTAATTTCCACTATGAAATCCAATTATTTTCCCAAGGAAATACTCCCAGTATGAGGAAGCTTTTAAAGTAAAAGTTAGTTCCCAGGCCATAGCCTTTGGAATGCATTGGCATTGTTTTTCCATTATTATCTCTCACAAATTTTCTCCTGTATTTTCTGATCCACAGAAAATTTTATACAGTTGGGTACCATATCAAAGGGCCTTGCGGAGCTTGGTAAGGGTTTAGCTTTCACAGGGTAATATAATCAACATAATAGAAAACTAGACAAAAGGTATGAATGAGAGTACACAGAAAAGGAAATATGAATAACCTAGAAACCTAGAAACATGTGTGTCCTCCCTCCATTGAAGAAATCGAAATCAAAACTACACTGAAATACCACTTTTCACTTATAGAATTACATGTTTGATAACATATCATTGGTGTGAATACAGAGGTAATTACTCTTATTTATTGCTGATAGGGCTATAATTGTTTAACCATAGAGAAAATTATCAGGAACTGTATAATTTTAAAAATGTACATAACCTTTCAGTTAATAATTCCATTTCTAGAAATTTATCCTACAAATGTATTTATACACATAATTTTTTGAAGCATTGTTTGGCCAAGGGAAAAGAGGGAAAACCCTCACTGTTCATTACCAGGGGATTTGTTAAACATAGTACAGCCATTGAATGGAATATTATATAGCTATAAAGGAGAAAACATATTAAATAATTTCTGAAATACTCTTTTAACAGTGTGCATAATGCTGCCACTTGTTTAAGAGAAAGAGAATGTTTGAAAAAACACAAAATCCTTGGACGAATAAACGAGTTGATATCAGTGCTTACCTCTTGGGGGAGATGGGAACCAGGCTGACACAGGATAGAAAAGGAGAGTAAATTTTTCAATAAACATAATTTTATACTCCTTTATATTTGAACCATGTGAAGATGTTTTCAAAGAAAATTACAAAGGGTTGGGGGATGGGTTGTTTTTTTATTTTTGAGTCAGATTCTTGCCCAAACTGGAGCTCAGTTGTGTAATCTCAGCTTATTGCAACCTCCACCTCCCAGGCTCAAGTGACTCTCCTGCTTCAGCCTCCTGAGTAGCTGGGACCACAGGAATGGTCCACCACACCTGACCAATTTTTGTATTTTTAGTAGAGAGAGAGTTTTGCCATGCTGGCCAGGCTGATCTTGAACTCCTAACCTCAAGTGATCTATCTCCCTGCCTCGGCCTCCCAAAGTGCTGGATTACAGGCATGAGCCACTGTGCCCAGCCTACACAGGGCTTGTTTTTAAGTGAAAGATACAATATCTCTTGTTGAAGATACTGTATTGATATTAATGCAGCCTAAGATTATATTTCTTTATTTTTAATAATTACCTTATATTGAGATCTAAGTAAACTAAAGCCTCTATCTCCTTTCTAAATGGACTGCTCTTATATCAAGTTGTTTTCTTTGTATTTAGTTGATTTTTTATCCAAATATAAATCTGTTTTTAAAAAGCTAGCTTACAAAGGAGAGATGCCCCCTCCTATCATTTGCATTTCCTACATTTTAAATAAGTAAAATCCAGAATAACACATACTTCCAACAATTATTTACTAATTATTGAGATACTAAAACTAACATTCTGGTACTAAGTTTAAATTCTGTGGGTGATACAAATATTTCATATATGTATAAATGTGTATTATATATGTAAATTTTATGTATGTATGTAAATGTACACTATGCATGTGTGTATATATAACATGTATGCATGTTTACACATACACACATATGCCACAGCTTACATATGATAATTATATGGTTAAAGTTGTTAGATATACTACTTATATTTTTAAACATTTTGAGTGAAATCTCAATTTGTGTTTTAGAAACTTCCAAGTATACAAGGCAGTTTTCACAAATAGGCAATCTATTTTTAGGGATTCTTAGCTCTGTCATTCAAAAGAAACAGAACAGTAATTCCTTTCAATAAAAACTAAGCCATCTTTTCCCTAAAATTAAATGCATTTCACATAGTTATTAAAACTGGTGAATTTGAAAAATGTTTATAATTTTACAGCAATGGTAATAATAAAACTGATTTTTCATCAGTTTTTTTTTTAAAGAGCACATGCTCATTGCAGAAAATTTGTCAATTACAGAGACATACAAAGAAGAAAATCAGTGCCACCTGTAACCTCACCAGTTAGAGATACCCACTGCTAACATTTTAGTTCACCACCAGCCAGCTCTCCTAACCAGTTAACATTAACTCCATGTCAAACCATCAGCTTTGACCTTTGTCAGTGTTCTAAAGCTGATTGGAGTTCATTCTCACTAAGACTAGTTTTCTCATCCACTTCAGCAACGCAGCTTGACCTCCTATTGGTTCAACCTAGAAGATCAAGAGAGGTTAGAGATTGGTCCAGAGTGTAGAGGGTTGGGAGGGCAGGCTTTACATCAGAAGGAAGAGCGGCACT